TGTTTGTACATTTTTAATTTTTTATCTTATCGTACCGATCATCTCTCCGAAGTATATTGATTAGGAATTAATTAAAATTAACGACAATTTAATTGTCCAAATTGCCGTGTCATTGAGTATTGCGTTGAAGCAAAAGAATTAAGTGTTATTAAAACTGCTGAAACATAGCTATTATATATCTTTGCTATTAACGCAGACCTTGAGTTCTGCATGGTTGGTCAATTCGTAAATTTAAGTCAGTAAAGTCTGGAAAAGTTTAGTTCTAAGATATTATGATTCACCAGTTTCGTAATCAATCACTGTGTTACGTCATTCCATTTTAAGATTACAAACTGTTTATGACAACTTTTAATGCAATATTTCTAATTAAACGATTGTAAATTTTCTATCGCGTTCCACACCAATGCATTCGCTTCTATGTATATGTATAACATGTTTGCTTATTGACAAAAGTCATTAACGTTCAGTAGTCTGTCGATTCACAGAAAACGTGAAAATTCAAATAAACTCGATAATGATCATCTATAGTTTTGCTATAGTTCTGCTACAGCTTTCCACATTTTTTGTTTGCTATATAATTTTTATGTACATTTTGTCGTAATATATGACAACGCTCGTCTTAAAGAACGGTAATTACGACAATGTCTCAGAAAACAAGTATTTGATCCTATAAATCTTATATAATTACCGAAGCAACAAATTCTTTAATCCAGTGAACAATCTTTCCTTCCAAGGACACATCTAAGTAGTGATACACTTGTAAAAGAATGTACGATTAACTCCATATTTCTTCATTAGCGTGGTGGAAAAAAAAATTGACTGACCTTACTAATTATAAGCAAGGTCGATTCTTAATCTATATTAATTTATATTATTGCATTTCAATTGACGGTTATAATACGCATATTGTGTAAAAATTGATAATGAGTCTAATTGAAGATATAACAAATGAGGCAAACATGTTATTCTAAGAGTTGCAGTGTACCATTATTATGTCTGTTATCTACCCCGTACGGATGAGCTATGACAAGAAATCTACGCGTCAAAAGAAACATTTTTTCTTACTCATGGTGCATACGCAAATACGTTTTCTTTATAATTTGCAAAGGACAGCGTAAATAAACATAATTCACTTTTGGACAACCTCATGAAATTTAATACCGGTAATAATCCACTTTGTTGAAATGCGTCATCGCGAGTTTAAATGTCCTTTAAGAATATATGACATACTGGAAATCCCGTGGAACGATATGATCGAGCACATTTTAGAATTCGTAAATTCCCATTCACTGACAGTGCTCAAGCCAGTTGGATTTTGCCATTGGAAGACGGAATGGAAAATTTGGTAGAAATGCTGCTGTGAAAGGACTCGTAAATTATATAGTATAGAGTAACTAATTCTCTAACAGTGTATTAATGAATGGGATTTTAATACCTCTAATTATCTAATAATGATATACTGTTGTATTTAGATTTGATTTGAATTAGATATAATAATGATAATGATAAATAATGATAATTTGGCAAATTCACGATTTACGTCGACTTTTTAAAATTTTAATCATCATTTGTGCAAGTTATCAGGTACTTTGCTTTGGAAGTAACCAAAGTCTTTGAGATAATGGTAGTCAACCGCTAGGCTTACCTAACATCCACTTATCATATTAGCAAATGTGCAACAGCACGGACTAAAAATAATGCCGCAACATCTAGAAATAGTAACGTAGTAGTACGAGAACGTATTGATCGTTCGACCCTGTTATGCACGTTTCTGTTCTGCGGCAAGTGCATCGACCTGAATTCTCGTCAAAATATAGCTAGAGGTATCCTTGGCCACGCCAGTTTCAAAACTAGTCGATATGTTACGTTTCGGAAATAGAAGATTTCTGCGACAAGTTCCATTCGCGACTCAAGAACTTTGTTGACATAGAAAACACTACAGTCTTACTTGGACTAAAAAATATCTTGAGGCTTTTTCAAAATTTCCATTCGAAAATTCTTAGGCATTCTATCCTTACCAAGTAATTACTTACGTTATTTTTCACTGTAGCTACAGCGAAGTAAACAAAAGTAAGATTAATGCTTTTTAGTATTTACTAATCCTGTTTTTACTTTGTGAGTAAAATTTTCGTCTTCCTTATCCTATTTGCTTTATTCTCCATATATGGGGGTTAAGTGGCAGATTGTGAATAAGATACATTGAGAATGTCCCATCGTGTATGGTTTAGTGTGAATGAAGCTTAATGGGCGAACCCCTTCGTAGATACGGTACTGTCCATTCTGGCGCGTAGTATATTTAAGGTCATGAAAATTCATAGCTTTGACTGTACCCAGAATGCAGATAAAGAAAAAAAAAATCCACGTGGTGAAACGAAATGCCTTTGAGTGGAATACGCGTCATGAAGGGTTCCACATGTGAGATGTATCGAATGGAATATCAGATAAGGCAAAGATTTACTTTCGTATTGATGTTGTTGGTCCTCATTAAGAAAAAAAGAAAAAGAAAATAAAGGTCTATAAACATCAAAAATATTCCCCGAATGGAATACCAGGGCTTCTGATTTTCAAACGACAATTCAGGTTGAATTTATATTTTGCACAATTGGTTACTCAGTGAGTCCATTCAAAAATTTTCCATGAGCATATAATAAAAATTATCATTTCTTTCATCCTATGATAAGCGTTATCTTTTTTAACCCCTTTGTGTACTTGCAGTATGCTTTATTTGAAATGAAGATTGTTAACTAATCAAAAGGGGTAGATCGCAAGACGACACATTATTCAGCCATATTTTTTGTACAGTTATACATTCTATTTTTAACCCGTGTAATTTTCACGCTAATAACTCAGCCGATGACACACACGTAAGTACCGTGAGCTCTCCCACAGTGGAAATTTCCATTCGCGAGACTCATTGGCGTAGCTACCGGCAAATTCATCATTATGATTTCAAGTATCAAATGACAAAGGTTAACAATAAAAAATTCATATATCCCCTCTAAGTATTAATTTTCTCAAAATGAGTCGCTTCTACTTATCGGTTATCTGCGTATCAAAAAAAATGCAAAGTTCAAGATAGGCAAGGCGCTTCGTAATAATCACAATGACAAGTACCAAACACAGTCTCAGCGATACATATATATGTATATACATATGCCTCTTTAATTATTTACACCGATAAATCATCAATTAAGTCAATTAATCCGTAAGGCATATCGAGTTTGTTATTTGAGGCAAATTAACCTGTTCTTTAACTTTACATGTCGTCAATAACTTCTGAATCAGATCAAAAAACGCTAAAATAAGGAAGACCGGAATTGTCCCGGATTTATTAAAGAATTTCGCAACTGTGATCCGCAAATGGCAATGGCCAACGTACGGTGCAGCGTCGCGGCAATCCTTCACGTGCAGCCCACTCTTCGAAATTTTCAAACTATGATTCACAATACCTGACATCGTTAGTAACTCGTGGCTATATACCGCAGTGGGACGGCTGTGGTAATGTACACGGATTCCTATGTATTATTTATCAGTTGACGATGGCTATGTATGGCGCTGGAATCGATCGAAAGGAAATTTCTAGAAACCCCATTCGCAGGTGGCTTCTACGTACTACCTGACTTTATCGTCTGACGTAAAAGACACCAAGTATATGTCCGCACGATACCCATGTGCGTGGTAGGAAATCGTCAAGGAGCATTCAAAGCGATAAAGAACTTCAAATTAGTAGATTGTCTTCTCTTAGAATATAAAATGCAAAATTATTTTTTAATACCAAAACGAGCTCTTGGTATTGAATATACATACAGGGTTATTCGCGGCAAACGCACCAGCTGAAATTGGCTCTGAATGGGTGATTTCATGTATCGGAGCAGGGTGGTCAACATTAAAGAAATGAAAGCTAAGGTCATAACATTGCTAAGATCATGAATTTCGCATTCTTTCATTCGTTTAACAAGGCTACACTGTCTCGATTAACCGATTTGTTCAATCGCGTCCAACTTCAGCTGGCGCGTTTACTGTGAATAACCCTATACGTACATTTTCATGATCATCACGCGAGTCTTGAATGACGTAACTTTAATTAATAAAAACCGTCTCTACGACAGATCAACTAATGGTCAATTTGAATGCAGTGACTTCCATTTATTAAGATCAACCTAAGACCTGCAAATTGATCATTGGTGGATCTTTCGTACACCCGCCGGTTTTTTTATCAAGTCTAGGTGTTAGAATTACACGATAAGTATGGCTAAGTATCATGATAGTAATGTTGACCGGGAACATAATTCTAAGTCAATAATTTATGATAATTTTATCAAATTTTTTACTCGAAGCTTCGATGATAGTGAATATTTTCTACTAAGTCCCTCAGTTCAATCATCGATCACTTTCTCACTGATTGTCAATGACAATTAAAAAACCATACCAAACCAAATTTTCTATAAAAATTATATATTTACTAAAATACATGTCAAATCTGTTCAGTTGAAGACGTTCTACGTAAACTCAAATTTGTATGATTTACCCATGCTGTCAGAATTGAGAATGTACTCCATCTGTCGCCAGCAGGTGTAACCAATAGGTGACAAGATTCTGATTTGGTAAATTAAATATAATTTTTATTAAGCTGTTAGAAGTTTCGAAGCAATTAAATCAAAGTAAAAGAACTGTACTATTTAATAGGCATCAGGAAATTTAGATTCCTTGATCTTACGTATTTGTCAAGCATTATCAAAACCATGAAATTTTTCACATCGACGCGTGTCATTTATCTTAATCGAACCTCATTCGTTTTTTGAGTTTGGTTAAAATGGTGAAATGCTTTTTTATTATAATTGTGCAGTAGAAAATGGATGCAACCAGTGTTGTGTTCATAGTATTCCCCGTTCAGCTGAAACTAGAGTGGGTTACATTGGGTACATTGTGTTTGGAAGGAAATTTTCTTAATATAAAATATGATACCAACTGGGTAATGAAAATAACTGAGGTTTTGCAGGTTTTGCAGTCTGAAACTCATTTATTGAACATGACATAAAAATCGCGATACATAATAACTATAAACCGAGGTCTATTGTAAGCTTTCAAAACTTTAGATATATTATTCGTTCGTTACTTTTAAGTATATCTCGTGTGAACTTCTTATCAAACGCTAACAGGTTATTTTATACATATATGTATATTTATACGCATGGAATGTACGCTCAACCACCTTACTCGCTTAACCGCTGGAGCTTCGCGAAATTCGCCAATCTCAGTTAACGCCAAATTCAATACAATTTTTCAAGTCCTCAATAATTATCTAGACTGATAATATAATTTGCTAATCCCGAATACTGCAGGTATAATTTTTGACTAAAAATTTTCATTTTATATTTTTAAATACTTTAACATTTCGTCCATACGTGGACATTATTTATTAGTCCCTGGGTCAAGACCAGTAAGGGGTATGAGTTTTTTTTTTAAACGAAAGCTGCTGTTCGTTGAAAATAATAAATAATTACGAAAAGTTTAGTTGTAGGAGGATAAAGGCAAGTCCAAAAAGCATGCAATTAAGAGCTTTTTAAACTTTGCCAAGTATTTGTTTCTGGGCTTTTGGCAGTGACGTTCAATCGCAATGGATGAGGAGAATGTAATCAGACGATTAAAAAAAATGTGTAAATTAACGCTATCATTAAAAATTGGCAATTAATTATTTCGACTGTTGTTTTACAGTTGAGGACGTTTTACATAAGTCATGTGAAAATATGACAATTGATCGATCTTGTAACGTTATCGTTATTTCTCCTCAGCCATGCTTCAAAAATCAGCCCAAAGCGTCCGGAAATAGGTATATATTACAGTATCGAAATAGGACAAAGTAAAATAAAGAAGGAAAAAAAAACAGTTTAAACCATCTGAATAAATTATATACTTGTAACCGTGCGATCCACGACTGAAAAATGAAATGGGTTCTAGCGCCACAACAGTTTCCCAGAGTCTCAATTTTGAAAATCATAGGTAAAAGAAAAAGTGGGTTTTATCGTCTGTACGTATAGAATATCGATGCATATATATACCTATATATGTATATATTTAATATGATTTATATTCTTTTTTATAGAGAATAAAGAGCGTCTAGACCCGTTTTATTCTACAATCTTCGATCGCTACAATAAATAGATCGTATCTCATCAATCTCTAATCTCTAGTAACACCGCATTATCAGTACAAATCGTTGGGCGAAATACGGGACAATTTTTCAAGGAACGTATCAAAATTTCTTCCAGATGAAAATTAATGTTATTCGTGCCATGAATTCGTCCCGATATTTCGCGCAGCACCACGATATAACACCCAATCGATACTTTTTCTTTAAGCAGTCTTTTACGAGAAGCGGCAACTTTTGGAAATATTTCGGTACACGCGCCATATACACCCGATGAAGCGAATCACCGGTAAGTGCGTGACATGTAGGCAATTTTCAAAATTTTCCGCAGATTTTATCTTTGTACATAGGTACGTCAAAACGGCTTCACTGCTTATGTCAAATTTCGGGCAACGATTTCGAAAAAGACTTAATCATTCTTGGAGAGCGCACGTATCTACGGATATTATCTATACGCGAGGACCTTTTCGACTCGGGCAAATTTTTACTTAACTCTTCCGACAATGAGGTCGCTCAAAATTGAATTTTGAAATATTACTCGAATAGAAAATGTAAATTGAAATCGTGAGCGACGTCTGACATCCCTTATTCGCGACGCGTTGACGTAAGTCGCGAAAGGGGTAACTCACTTCGAATTTTTATTTTTCTCGAATCGTTGCAAAATAATTCTATCTTATAGGTTACGGTATCACAGAGTTACACGCGGTATCATTAAATTGCTCCCAGTTCGTAAATTTCAGAAAAAAAAGAAAAAAAAACCAAATCAAGATTCTACGATCAAGCAAAGCCAGCCGATTTCGTGCCGTTCGCACGGATTATAATATCAAGGCGTGTAACTATATAAATGAAGTTCACGTTTCGAGAAATGGAATTTTGCCTAAACTCCCGTGCACCTGCGCACATATCTGCGCATGCACGCCGAGCAATGCACGGCTTTTCTTGAGCTTCTAAACATTAGTACAAAATATCGTTTTCTTCTCTCCCGAAACACACGAGAGATTTCGAAGATCTTCGAACTGCATTTTTTCGCGATATTCTTTTCCTTCTTCCGTTCAAATCGAGTATTTTTTAAGTCCTTCGAATCGATCGAATCAAACGTTCAAACATATTATCAATCACGAGGTAATGTGGCTGTTTCGATGCCTCGTTAGAAAATAAAAACATACGACAATAATAATCTTTCAAGAAAATCTTGACAAAGATCAACCGCCATTAGGGAGGAGTGTCTTGCGCAAGTCCCAGCGCTAAAATGATCCTTCGTTAAGTCGTGCCAATCACGTAGTCACCACGTGCTAATAGTACTATCGCTATTTACGTCAGATGAATTACGAAAACTTTTAATCTTCTCCAAAAAGAAAAATTTGATTGAACCGATTACTAACAGCAATCAGGATTTCATTGGATTCACTGAATCGATAGTAAATCAGCTATACGATGTAATAGATAGATAGAAGGTATACGCTCCAAAGATACAGTGTTAATCACTAGGACGAAAAATTGTTGTATTATTGAGATCGGATCTTTTTTACCGCCGAAACTTAAGCAGCGAATAATTCACTACGTAAAAGTGCTACAAGCAATGTCATTCAGAACAAATAGTACGTACCTCTAATCATGTAACTTTTCATGATATATATACTATATAATATATATAAGTATTTTAAAATAAGTCTTTTCTTAGGCTTCTGTTCGTTATGATCGATCGAACACTCTCGTGCTCTTGTTTTATCTGAGTCTCTCTATCGCGATGTCATTCTCTCGAGTAGTTAGATTCGCACTCTCAGTCATTCGCGCACATAGGTGGCTCTTAATTTATTATAAGCGCGTTTTTCTAAAGCTACGAAATGAAAAGATAAGCGACTTCCGGTGGCAATAATCTGAGCCCCAAGATCTCTTGGAATAGTTTGACCTAACACGGGATATGCCTTCCTCTCTCTAGCTCTCTTTTTCTTTTTTCCTCTTCTACTTTCTAGTCAGTTGTTATGGTGTACTCGGGTTTGCGAGTTACGTTCTCATTGCCACAGGTCATCGACGTTGCGCGAAAATGTGTAGCATGACTACTCAAGAAGAGTCTAATGTGCAACGGTGATTGAAGGAACTAGCATTTAGGACGTATCTCATGTCTCGATACAATCCTGAACCAGCGACTTCCTGCCTGAAGTGAGAAACGGAAGGATACTCCGTTGTATCCTCGACACTGACCTTCTGTTCCTCAGCAGCTTCTTCCTGATCTTGCCGTAGCAAGGATCATCGCATCCAACGATGTGTAGTCCTGTACCATCTTGAACAGAGCGTAAAAACCGTGTGCTTGTACAGCCGGTGAACGTCTTCTTCTGGAACAGTCCGGGTCCCATCGTTCCCATGTTTCAGGACTAATGTCGAACGCTTCTCTTCGTCCAGATGATCCAAAGGATCAGGATGTTCCTCCGGAAACAAGTCTCGAAACAAAACGTAAGGGTCTGCGCGTTGGTATCTCTCTACCAGGCTGCCGGATCCGGACACGAGCGGGCCACTAGTTTGGTACTGATTCCAGAACCGGAAGGTGCCGAGGTGCGACGGATCTCGATTGGTTTCGAACCGGAAACGGGTGGCCGGCCCAAAACCCCTTGGGTGCTTCACGACAGATTTCGCTGATCCTCCGAGTTGTCATCTGCCTTCTTCAAAGAACGTTTCAGCTTATCCACTAGTCTATTGTGAAACTTGTTCAAGGAGTTGGAGCTTCCGGTCTTCGGAGGTGAAGACCCGGTACTCTTGCTGGGACTTTGGAGTGAGCTCTGAGATGCCCTGGAGGAAGTTCTCGAAAAGTGACGGGACGTCAGAGGCACCGAACGGTGAGCCGGCGATGTGAGAAAGTCGGAACCCGGTGACGTGGACAAGGAAGGTCCTTCGGATTTCGAGCATTCGGACACCTGAAACCAAAAGATTAATGTTCACGTTAATACTCGAGGTCCCTCGCGAAAGATCTCGGAAGTAGAGTGCAGCATCAAAGAGGAACGAAAGGGAATTTTGCGAACATGATTTCTTATAGTCCCGTGGCCTTGAAGACTACCGGTACAACATACGAGGACGTCACCCAAGGTGAGACTCCATAATGAGTTCCTTAACGGTATTCACATTCTATAGCAGTGCGACGACACGATCTCGAGAATCAAGATCAAGGAGCAAGTCCTTTTTCGGCAGTTAAGGCACCGCCTTGCCTTCTCCACTCATTTCCAAACCACTGATCGCCTCTAAAACATGAAAACTTTTGTACAAAATATTTCTCCCGGAGATAAATTTATTCCCGGATCCTAATTCGTTATGCTTCAGCGAACTAAGTCGATCGGCGTAGCACGCGGAAAAAGGTGTAAATATTTATTCACGAGTCTTGACGCATCGCGAGCACGAGATCTCTACTGAAGAAGCGCGCGTTCTTATTCAGCGTGACGATAAAGCAGCACCACAACTTCTAATCATCAGGAAATTCCAATCGAGTCAACGAACGCAATCTATCGAATTAACAATGTACATAAGAATATCTGTTATTTATCATTGAATTAACCATTTTCCATATGTAAGTCTACATTTCTGATTAATATAGTATTAACCTTCCACGCCATCTTTAATTAACACCCACAAAAAGTTGCGTCCTGCATAACATTGGCATGCATACTCGACATAGCACATGTATACGTGAACCTTCTTCAAGACACGACGACTTCCCATTGTCATAACGACGATCGGTTACAATGATTAGACTATATCCGCCTAGGTCTCAATCTACGTAACACTTCGCTTCTTTGCGTCTGGCGCTGCAGGCAAGGCCGGGCTCGAGTGGGAGCTATGCCGGCGGCCCCGAAGCACGAGACAAGTAACAGTGGCTCTCCGAGGTATTTCCCAGCGAGAATAATACCTTTGGGGCAACAGGCAACCGAGAACCTCGCACACGTGTTCGACCGTACGTGTTATAATACGAGGCAATCACCCGCAACTATTCCCATCCAATTTATCCGACTGACTATGTAATACATCGACTGGAATACGCGTGCCAATTTTAAGTGGACACGTGACGACTACACAATCCCGCGTTTCACTGTCATCGTTTGATCACGTCTCTTCTCAGATTCTAAATTCAAAAGTATCCTTTCTCTTCTATACTTTTCTTTTTTATCAAGTTTTGGTAATTTTATTTAGGTAAGTAATCCCATCTTATGCGATTGAGAAACACTGCTATGGAAACGTGGAAGTACGGTCAAGTCTATGATACATACGATAGGTGACGGAAATGTCACAATCAATGTTCACAGATAATGAACCATATTAAAGGATCGTTAATGAAAGGATCGTTTTTCATAAAAAGTATAACAAAGGTTCATGTTTATCGTACGAATCGTATTATACGTTATTGCAGAATCTTCAGTGAGGTCAGTGCGCATAATCCAAATTGAATAGCGCCAACGTTTCGGCAGCTGAAGAATAATCATATGAGAACCACTGCCGGAAAGAATGTTCGTTCTACCTCAGCTTATTTCAGTTTTCGTTCATGTTGCCGATCGACAAATCGCAACGGCAATGCCGCGAGCTAGACTGCTCGTTGCATCAGTCCTACAAGTTCAAGCGAACTCACGACAAAGTCACACATACAGAATACAGTCACCCACGAGTGATGACGGGGAGGTATGAATAAACATGAAAAAGTAAAGAGAGTACTCGTTAAAGATGTTTAGACACTGCAAATTTATTATTTCTAATTGAGTTATTGTTAAAGGCAACACAATAATAAACAGTGTCAAATTAATGGAAGTCGATTGGCTGCCATTGATTTTCTTCTGGCAAAAGTTTCTTGGCAATATTACATTTTTTACAGTCTCCTTGGGAATGTGATCGATTGGAATTTTATACTGTCGCCCTGTTTAATAAACGTCCTGGATGACGATTAAACATTTTCAAAATATTCAACTTGTGCATGCAGAAATGTTTCTGGTTTTTGGTAGCAAAAAAGTATTTAAAATGTTCACATGAAGACGGAATATCTATATTTACGAGGGGGTGGCACAGATTAATGTATGTTAACATTATCGACGTGATAGCAATACCTATATAGAATGATAAAAGAAGTGTTCACATGTATGACGTTTATTCAGTTACGTGTCGTAAAAAGAGTCGTAAAAAAAGGACGTTTTTCTTGACGTCGCGTGACGTCAAGAACGTAACAGGATGAAAGCCGATGTTCTTCAAAGGTATCTAAAGTCTTCCAATGGTTCAACTGTCCATTGTCGCTCGGTGTGACCATTTTTTTCTCAGCCCACTGTACGATACTTTCTAAACTTCCGAACGACGCATTAAGGCTACCGACTGACGAAAGGGGATGGACTACAACGACGCAGAAAAGGATGAATTGTCAATTGTGGAGAGAAACCCGTTTGTAGGTTCAATGTACGGAATTATGAAATTTACCGGTTACGTAACGAAGTGGGAACATCCAGAAGGACAGTGTGAAGCAGGTGGGTCTTTTTATTAATAGCTAAAAAATGTACAATATCTTCAAACTCACTGCCTATTGTCAATCTGTTTGACACATGCCAGCACAAGGTGTGAAGCTATACCAGGAAGTTTGAGCTGGGAAAAGCTGCGAGTATAGGAAGGAAAGCCGTTACGAAAGGGAAGGGAAAGAAACGTGCGCTACGCATTACTCTCATTCTCCCTCATCCACTCACCATCTTGCCCTCTTTTTTTTTAGTAGACACATACAGACACGCGCGCACGTGTAGCGCACTCATTGACACATAGAACACTAATGTCAGCTCTGCTCACCTTCCGACTGCGGCAGGTGTGAGGATTGGAACACTCCGACGAGCGTCGACTGCGGTTCGTCTTGTAAATATCCCATTCATTTTTCACAACGGGCATCATAAAGGCCATCTTGATTGATGCGAAGGTTGGCTTGTGGCGCGCAGTAAAAATTCCAATACTGTAGGAACTTGTATTTGGATAGGTTCGTCTATCTTTCTATTTCTCTTTTTAGAAAAGTCTTAGCGTAACGAACACTGCACGCGTCACTGACGTGAAACTTGAGGTGAACTTACAATCGAATTTGAAATTTTCCCTCGTATTCTATCAAGTCCTCAAGGAACTCGTGCAACCGGCGTACTGCGGACAATGAGTTTCTTTTACGGCTCGCGTTACTGGCGCTGTCGAATTCAAAAACTGCATACGTCGAGATATCACGATCTTCCGTTGAGAGCGTTTTCGTTTACAACGTGCAAATCCGTCCGCTTGTTGCGGTTGTCTGCTTCGAAATGAGCACGCCGCGCGTCGTGCAATAGGGATACTCAGCCAGTGGTGGGGATAGGCCGCATCTCATTGGCTCCTCGTAAGGCGGGACTCTGACGTCACAGGTTACCATTGATTTTTCAATGTTGATACACACAGCGGCATGACGTACCGGATTGATTTTTTGGCCACAGCTCGTCCACCATTCTTAGATAGAGTAGCTCATTTAAAGGGAAAGTGCCATTATCTCCATATTTAATAATTACTCATTGACCTTCCCTAACAACCACCTTAAAAATTATTAAATCAAGTCGAAGAAAGTTTTAAAAGTGGTTCTTAGTAAGGCAATGATGCGATTAATTTTTTTGATTTTTCAAAATCGGATTATCTATCAAGGAAACGACTCGACGGTTTAAAATTTATCATTATGTTGTAAGCCTGCCCTATGAGAAAATTGATAACCTTTGCTACGTGCGATATTGCACGATGCTAGACATGCTACCGGTGGTTGTGTGGGGGAAATTCAAAATCGATATTCTACTTCCGTTTCTCACGTATTGCCCGAATATAGATATAGGAGAATCCTTGAGATCCGAAAATGTTACAAGTGATAATCATTGTGTGTCACATTGCATTGCATTGTGAATGATCGTCATTGCTCTTAGGTTATGAATAAGCTCGAATACCTTCTATACTTTTTTTATTATTTATTTTATTACTCAATTCAAAATACAATGTCATCAACCAATCTGTTTGCTTTTCATATCATTTGGCGTATAAAATATATGTGGAATATAGAACACATTAATGAGAATATGCTTCGAGTATAAACAGTGGCAGCTTGAGCCATCGTGTAGATAAGGCGCATTTCCATTTGTAATCGGAAATGTAAGCTGATAAATATATTTCATGTCTTATTTCCAATTACGTTTTCCGATTACATAATGTACCATAATGTGTGCTATTATATATTTCTTCCGCATCGCAGTGCTCGTGATAAGGCGAATTTACTAATACGCAGGTGTTTATACTTAAAATTTTAATGTCGCGCTGTTTTACCTACAATGGGAAATGAGAATTTCACTTCTGTTCTTGTTCGATATGTTACCATCATTGGTCACATTCTTCGTTGCTATAAAAATTGCATTAATCCACAGTTGATAACTCCATAGGCACTGAACTAGATGACGCTAGTTACGCCGAAAAATTCTAACTTATCGATTATCCTTTAGAAATTTTATACATTGGCATCATCGTACATGATACTGTACTTAACACGTTGAAATTAGAATTCAATTTGTTTGCCAAATCTTACTGCTAGAAAGTAAGCCGTAAGAAGAGGAAAAACTATTTCCTCATAAAATCTTGTATAAGAAATGCATAAGGGTGAGTTCAATCAAAGTTTACTAAAAGCGTTTCCGATTAACAGCATTTTTCTAGGACCGAGCGTAAAGTGTAAGCCTGAAATGTCTTCGATTGACAAATTTTTTTCTACAATCATCAAATGTTGCACTCGTAAGAGACGACACCTTAAGTCCAGTGCAAGAACACATAATTCCCCTTCTGTGTCTACCTTCAAGCAAGCAGACAAATGGGAGTTAAAACTTCGATCAATCAAAAATACCATAAGCTATACAGCAATAATTGTATTTTAAGGTTTGTTTATGAACCTGTGAAAATTATAAGAACCGACTAAATTTCACTATTGGCAGCAATGTTCACTAATTTGTGCGTTACTTGTATTGAGCAGAATTTGGTCAAACTTTCTCTAGACAGATTACGGGGACCGTGTAAAAGTATACAGTAACGAAAATTGTATAAAATTTGATAGTCATTAGATATAATATATATCAAATTCATTTTCATACAAGGTATTTTAATGCAGCAAGGAACATTAATTGTTTCGCCTAGATAACTTAATATTTAGATATTCCATACATCTCCTGTGTTTAACTTTTTGACGTGGTTTATAAGTCGATCTTCATTTAATTATTTAGATTCATACCATCTTGAGCACGTATGTTTCCATCAAGCTACAATGATTGTGTAAATTATTAATGTCTATTGATTTAGTATTTCCAAACACAGTCTTTAGTCTGTTGTGACTTATTGTTCGAAAAGGTGCAACTAACGTCTTGTAAATGCCGTCTGCAATTACATCATTAAAAAAGAACATAAAGAAATGCAATGGCGTTTCAAGTGACTCTACCGCGAGCTATGCAATTTTTGCTAGTCTGTGGAAAAATATCATGCACGTTACCACCAAATTTTGAAAGCCGAAGATACAAATCAATTATCCACGAAATCATGTGGTTGATATCTATGTCTGTGACAATGAGTTTAATAATTCCTCTTTTTCTGGCAATGTATCACTTTGGTGAAGATTTGGCAGTATTAACAAAATCAGTGTCAGAATCAATGACCGCGACAGATCCACTTTTGAATATGATTTTCTGCAAATTAGAGAGAGCTCGAATTCAGGTTATTTACTCAAAAAAAAAATTAACACGTAATATACCAATGTCAAATGTGTCGCTATACTGATAAATCATTATAATCAATTCAGGTTATTCTCAGTGAGTTAATGAACTTCCTAAATACTGCATCTCCGTTTGAAAAAGCTAAACTTCAAAAACACGTTGACCAATGCACACCGTTCTATCTGTTCATACTTATTTTATTTTCACTGACTGCTGTTGCCTTTTCATGCGGGCCCATCGTAATGGACAGGCCATTTCCGGCTGAAGCGTGGTATCCTTTTTCAACGGATCCACTTCCTATCAGTTGTTCCATATACGTGCTTCAAATTATGGTCATAGCACAAGCCGCGATGTGTATACATATGGATTTTATGATTGCATTTCTTTTGTGGTACGCCGTGGCGAGTTTTGAAATATTGGGAGAGAAATTTCGTCGTGTCGAAAACGAAGTTGATCTTCGAAATTGTATCGTTCAACATCAGAAATTGATAGTGTAAGTAATGATTTATATAACTGCACGACGTATGTTTTTTATGCAAAATTTATTTTGCTTTTCAGATTTGTTCGTGAAATTAATCGTGTCTTTTATGTAATGATTCTAAAAACACCTCTATCGATGACAATTAGCATAATCTGTTCTAGCGTTCAGCTGATTCACGTGAGTTCCGCTTGACTTTACACTATGATCTCGATAATTACATATCAAATGACATATCATTTTTTTTTGTTATAAACAGCACGAACCTCTGCCAGTATTGTCCCAGTTTATTTTGCTGCTAGTAGTTTGCTCTATAAAGCTATACATCACTGCTTGGCCAGCGGACAGTTTGATCCACGCTGTGAGTTTTTCCAGATAAAATCAACTAAATGGATTTACGTTTTTTTACACGTGAACTGTAAAAGTCGAATAAAAATTATATATCAATATTCGCGATTCAATCAAATACGTTACTGTTTATTTCTTAATACTCCATAAATTATCTCCAATTGTTCGATACTCTTAATTAATGTAACGAATATAATAACCAATCTTAACGTTATGGACTGTCATTTATTTCAGAGCGAAAACATCGCTTCGTCAGTTTACGAATCATCTTGGATTGGTAAATCTTCAACGTTTCTGAAGAGTCTGAACATTGTCATACGAAGAAGTCAAAAACCTCTCATTATTTCAATCACTGGCATACTTCCTCCACTGTCTCTACGATTTTACGCAAGCGTGAGTGCCAGGTGTACAGTTTGTAACATGGCAACACTGCAGTAAGGCAAAAGGGTCAAGAACCATAATGATATTAATGAATCTAATATTTTTCAGTTTATCACCAAAGCACTGTCGTTCATCACGACATTGAAGAGTGTTATCAGCGAGTGAACAATTATCGTACGTATATATTATCTTCTCTGTAATGGTTTACTCAAAGTAAAATCTAATAAAAAAAATTATTGATTTCATTGGAAAATGAAATTTTTCCTCAATTCGATCTTTCATCACCCATCACTGACACGTTTCCTTTCTCACGTGTTCCGACTTTATTTTTGACGAGTTATTGTTAATATGCTTTCTATAGACAATTGGTACTGGTTTTGTACCAAATTTATATCAAGAAATGCACTGACCCGCCAAGTAGTACTCGATAAGGAATCGTCTAAAGTTTTATTAATTATTAAATCACCATTAAGTCATAATTAAATACGGGAAGCAGTAGTAACATAAAAAAGTAGCGAAAACGTTATAGGAAATATTGAAAATATAATTAAAATGATGGGCCAGTGCTAGATCATATAATAGGAAAACATGTAGTGACTTATGTACTTGGCCTCAATAATATGATATCAATACTTTTTGTTAGAGGAATTCACAGCAATCCTGTACTTGGCGTAGTTTTTTACACGTAAGTGTTTTTTGGGGGATTATCTTCTACCATAATGCATGACATGCTATACCCTCTTCCTGACTTGTTAAGTTCACTGGTATCTGGTACTTGTGTGCATTATTAATTCGTTAGAAGTACTCCTCGCACTATCAATACAAATTACTATCCATGCAAAAGATAACACTTGATGCAAGTAGAAGTATTTATTGTCAATGCGTTCAGCAGTGTAATACAGCGTAACGATGAATATACGTAACGGTACGTAACATATTCTGAATATTTATTTTTTAATTGTCTTATAATCCAGTAAATAAATCTTAACCTACAGTAATAAGGGTTCTTTTTTTCACGAGTACAAAATCAGTCATTAATTCATTAACATTAATTGTATTACTAGTTTGGGTAGTATTAATCTCGGTCGACGAATCTAAAGCGAAGTGGCCTGTTTGGAACGTTTACCATCATGTATCTACTTCCAATATCTGCATAATCATATTCAATTCGGTATTCTCGAATCAACTGTAAAAAGAAAACAGCAGTAATTTGATTTTAAGCTAATATTATAATTATTGACTGAATAATCTTTTATTTTAATGGTTATTGATATCGTTTTATAATTATTTCATTATTTTCTTATTGGTGTAATCGAATAATTACTTATAACTTACAATTATTTTTGTCTTCGTATAACGAGTTTTATGTACAATTACGACTTTCATGTGAGTTTATTTTTGTTTGTAAATAAAAATTTACAGTAATCAACTTACTTTTGCCGTTAGAAGCATCATTTCCATTTTAGCCATACTTTTTCCTAAGCAAGATCGTACACCGTGACCAAACGGAAGATAACTGAATTCTTGATTGTATTCTGGATTGTCGTTATTCGTCATCCATCTTTCTGGTTTAAATTTTTCAGGATCTTCAAAATTCTCTTCGCGTCGCGCAGCTATTTGATTAGCCATTATCAGGTACGTCTGTGATAAATTGTGCAATGACGATTTAATGACGCTGACTTAAAATTGTAAACTGGATTTAGTTGTACTTGAAATATTTTCAATCTCGTAATAACTTACCCCTTTAGGAATTGTATATCCATGTAAATTGATAGTTTTCGGAAGAACTCTCGTTATGTAAGGGAAGGCTGGTCGTAATCTTTTAAACAAATGAATTTATCATTAAAGTCAGTACTGATAAGTTATTGTTAGCAGTTGTTAAATAATATCATATTTTTGTATTTTTTTAAACAGACAATTTTCGTCGTTCCTTACCTGAGACACTCTTGTAAACAAGCTTTAAGGTAAGGCAAGCTCTTAAGAGTTGCCTCATTCAAGGTGGAACTTCTATTGGGTAAAATGGGATATATCTCTTCGAATAATTTCCTTTGTACACGGGGATTTTTTGCGAGATAATACAGGAGAAAACCTTGACAATTACTAGTCTGGTAACAATTTCAAAATTCGCAAGATTAATGTATTAATACTTTGTTTTTTATTCTTTAGAGGATACTCTCAACTCACAGCTTGAACTCCGAGAACGATCATGTCCATGAGAAGAGTAGTAATGTCATCAGGATGAATTCGTTCGTTGAATAAAATTTTTTCAAGAATCGGTGAACTCTCCTCAGCCATCGTATCCTTATCATCGAGGGGTGTAAGGGTACGATGGCGAACTTTATTTTGCGCTTGTCGAATATACTTTCCAATAACACTGAATTAAAAGATTAATATAGCAAAATACGTAATACTTATTGAAAAAGAAATGTATACTCAATTCTAACAAGATAAATATAAACCTATCGATAACGTCACACGCGCCAAAGAGCTTCTTGGCAAACGGAGTTTCAAAGAATCGCCATACTTGAAAACCAGTTTCGCAACGACTCAGATACACGTGGGCCGTCGTTAGTGCTTCAATTATTCTTGCAGGTTCGGAAGCGACGTTTAATCCGGTTGATTCAAGGAATCCAAGACGTCTGTTGAACATCAATATGGAAAAACACTCCATACTCCAACGCGTCAATTCTTCAATAAACTGACCAGGTACCTGGAGAAACAATGAAAAATAAGGCAATTACGTAAGTAGTCCATTTTTTATATATCGTTATACCTCATCTTGTCGATTTCGAATTTTGCGAATTCTCTGTACCAGTTCGTCGCTAGTAAGTTCGAGACGGTCGAAGTATTGCGAGAGTTGTTGAGTGAATGGCTTTTCTAATTTTACCTTTACGTCCGTCCATTCTGCGCCTTGCCTGTGCCATGTAAAACATAGTAGATCCAATCAAAAATCTTATTATTGCATTAAAATGTGTGCAACTAACATAGAGAATGGTCCGGGCAGTCTGTATTTTCTATAGTGCAAATGGTAATGTTGCAAAATATCGATACCACTTCGTATAGGTGAATCTTCTTCCTGTTTGAACACCTCAGCTATATGTTCAGGCCTGTTTTCACGTAAATACTCCAAAGAATATAGTAACAAATAAAATATAATTTCAGGTATAGATAATGCTAAATTTTTTTACCTATGTATCATAACAATATTTCCGGCAATTGGTCCATGAATTCGAACAATAGGACCATACTCGTTGAATAAATATTGCAATGGCGTAATATTTCTATTCCAGTTTAATCGACCTAAAAATAAAAGAGTAACTCCCCAAATTTTAATTGAAGAATTAAATTAAATGTCTATTTAATTGAGATAAAACATCTGATTTATAAATGTTCACTGAGCAATAATAAAATCCCGCGAGACAATTCATTAAAAATTCGAAAAACCATCAACTTTCGAATGTACCTCAATTTCGCGTTTAGTGAAATAATATGACAAACACTTTTCGCAATGAAATTCGAAAAGTGCATGGACATTCGAATTTTCAATTTCGAATTCTCCATAAATCGTACCCTGGGTAAATCTGTTGATTAGCAGACTGCAAAACAGTTGCGTACCAAGGAGAGGCACGTATTTCCAATATTTCTCCCAGAGCTTCAGTATAGCGGGTCCTGGAATTTCTTCGAACGGAAGTGCAGTCTTCTCCATTGTCAAATCAGGCGTCACTCGCACTTTTGGCACGTCCAGTATTTCTGCAGTTGCAGCTGCGTTATCGCAATCCAACGTGTTTGCTGATGAAGAATGAATAATTTGTGTATCCATTGAATGCTCCGGTTGAGGTTGAGCCAACGTGGCAGCTGAAAGTTGTTATTACCTTTACATACACATTTACATTGATATTTTAAAAACATCTAACCCCTATGACATAATAGTTTACAAGTTGAAACATTCATATATACTTAGTCCTTACAACATATTACGTCATTATTCGTGTCTTGTAAATACTCCTGTCTCTCGATGGCCGGCAAGTAATTGGTTACTTTTGCCAAAGATCGACTAAACGGATATCTCTCTGATATTCGTGATAACTCCGTGTGATAAATACCATGAAATCGTAACAACCGATACATGTTTGCTGAAATTAATTAGTAAATTTATTACCAAAAATATTAATATTTTCTCGCTACACTCTATATACGGATAACTGTATTGACTTTTAAGAACTTTACGTTATTGGTGCACTTACTCGCTTTGCGGACGTGAAGAAACATTTTTTTGGATATTAAAGGATTTTATCGTTGCTTATTTCCAATTTTGGTGAATTGACGGATAGGAAAACAATCAAAACGTTGCTCGGCAGCGAACGTAAACAATTGACGATCTTTTTGTAGACAAATTGTCTCGCGTAGAGATAACCATTTGACGTTACCAACTGTCAAATAATTATAGTACGAATGGTAATAAAACATGGCGGCTGCCCTATAACTATTATAACACGAAATTTGTGCAACCACAAAGCACGTGTGGTCAAAATAAATTCGTTTTTATTTAGCAATACTTTTTATTTTAATAATAATTTTTTTACCATATCAATTTGATTTTCGAAATTGAGTCACTAACGATAACCGATTTTAACCACCTTCACAAATTACCTTTGGTATAATCATTTAGTGCAATTATAATAAATAATGCTAATGTACTATTTTTTATTATTATACGAAGAATTTTATTCATGATAATTCAATATGAATATGATAATTCATTAGAATTGAACCATGTAGATATTAAGTGGGTATTAAATTACGTGTATGTATCTACATACGTATATCGTGTAACACTATTATAACACTTGACCCTTAATTTTAAGAGTTAAGAGTTCCTTTGGCACTTACATCTTATTTCAGGCTGCAATCTTAGCAGCAGTCCTGTTACGACTTCGTAATATAAATTATGATTAATTAGAGTATAAGTTGCATAAGGCTTATAGTTAGTTAGAGTGTGTGCAGTAGGTTCATTGGGAAATATTCATATTGATATTAAAACTGCCAATGAGAAATTCATTTTTTTTATTATTAATTGCTCTATGTACAATATATACACCAGTATTGTAACTACAATAATAACAATGTAAATTGTCACTCCATTAATTAAAATAAATAATTACATATGATTTTATTAAATATGCTACCACTTCAACGCAATTTTACCAATTACGTTTAATCATGTAAATTTCATAATGGCACTTCGTTAAGATATCAGCAATTTTTCTACACTTTCTATTGTCCATTGCACATCTTGCAAGTCCCTTACACTATAGTTTTATATCCATAACGTGTCTTTATCTTACAAATATTAAACATCAACCTCAATTTCCATGTCTTCTTCTTCATCGATCTGAATTCTTTTTTCTATAAAGTCTTTGATGGACTCTTTACCCAATTTCTGTGGCGATTCCTGCTGTGTCGAATCTGGACCGGTAGACGTGACATTTTCGCCCTCTTTCGTATGACGCCACTTCATTCTGCGATTTTGAAACCACACTTTGACCTGGAACAAAAAGATTCATACATTTTCATATAATCCCAAGTTGTCCAGTAAACTTGGGGCATAAATACAACAAAACTAACAAAATAATGAAAAATAAGTTTCGGTCGACTTTACTCACTTGCGCATCGGTAAGACCCAAAGTAGCTGCCAACTGTCTTCTATCAGGCTTCGTAATGTATTTCTGCAAAGAGAATCGTCTCTCCAGTCCTTTTCTTTGAAGAGAACTAAAAACAGCCCTGGACCAAGAGCGTTTCCTTCTAGCTCCATTTTCCGTAGGGTTGCCCACCCCTGGTGATGAAGATACTGCAACTAATAACATCCGGTCACTCATTGAAACATACTATAATTGATCTTTTATCTTGCCTCAGATTACTATCAATTAGGTATCCCAACGGTTAGCCGGATGTCAACAAATGATTCATAGGTAAAGGACAGTAATGTCAAGTAAACTTTTGGCTACTGGTGATTGGGTCACCTACTAGACTACAAGGGAGGAATCGATGTTGGGGAAGAAAACGATACGAGGAGAAGAGAGAGTACTTCCAACTAAACGGTGTCTGTTTAAACAGATATTCCCCGTCCGACGCGACCCCAGGATGGAGCACTTCTGGGTGATTTACAGCCGCACTAAAGTATACAACATGTGTACGAATTTAAACAGTGCGGTTCCCTCGGCTCCAAACGATCCGGCATACAAATTGCCCTGCTAACAGATATTTATAATCCTACCGGCTTTTAATGTCTATTGGAAATTAGATGGACAATTTGTTATTTTTCGTTAGGCTATCGGAAGGCGATGAACACGTGATACTATTGGGATCGCGCTGTGATTTGTGGCGGAGGGTCGAGAAAAAGTTTTAGCTCGATAAAATAACACACCACTCGTTAACCAGAAGTTATTACAATTTCCTGCCCGAGAAACTTTCCTTATCGACATCCTTAGATTCAACCATTTACTTATGTAACTCTTCCGTATTCGCTGCACAGTGGAAAGGAACCATGCTAATTAGTTGTTATTAGTAGTTAAGTTGCTTCGATAACAAAATTGAACAAACGAGTGTTTAAGCGATTCGTCGTTTTTTTGTGGGTATAGAAATTCTTGTGTGGAGACTTACTGTTATGGTTACCCTGTCGATAAAAAAGGACTCCGCTGGACTGCAAATCCATGGCAAAATTTAAGATCCCCCTCTTTACTAACTGGGAAACGCTTAGCGACCACTGTTTATATCGCGCGTAAACTCACGGTGGCACTTAAGATGTCGTTTAAACATGGAGAGACAGGAAACACGAGAATACACTGGTACGTAAATATTTTGGCCTAGTTGCCGTAGGGTTCAAGAGACAAGACAGTAGTCCGTATGGAAGCATTTGTTAATGATTCTTCCATCCACCCCATCAGCACGTAACCCCTTCTGGAAATCCCAGTAAATTACGTTCTTTACGAGCGACTTGATTAGCCCATCAAGCGAAGCCGCGGTTTATGGAATTACAAGCTGACGGGGAACAACTTCCAGATTCGTGATAATGTCAGATCCTGATGGATCAGCTAAGGATTATCTTACCCCCTGGTATTGGACGTACTGGAGCCGGTCTGTACAGATTATTGTAGGTATCGAGTACACTGTAATTACTCGATGAAATTGTCATTGATGACTGTGACAACGGAAGTGACGAGCAGACGCGTAGAGTCTCGCACCTCATGCAACTTCCGGGACAGGGACAAGCTGCAAGGGCGCCGTATTGTAGCGGACGTGGCCTGAGGATATCTGCAAGTAAAATGTCACTGTAGAATCAATGGTTGATAAACATTTTGATTATCTTGAGATGCGCGGATGCTCAGCACAAAGCGTGCACATTATTTTCGGTGTGGTTTAATGACTAGTTTGAAAGGCTGTTTGTCTGGGAGAAGAAGCGTTTAAAGCCCGTTAGAATGACGCAACTCACCTGTTTTCTTCGAAGAGATCTCATTCGATAGTATCCGGTCTACTCCGAATTTTAGTTGCTTCGAACCGCTTCCGGAAATCGGCACTCGCGTATCTACCTCCTCCATTATTAATGACTTTGATCATCCGTATCGTACACGTAATGTTTTGATAACGAAACCGATTTTTGTTAATTTTGAAATTTTCAGAAATTTTTTTTCCACATTTCACACTTTTTGAAACCTTGCAATTAATATCACATTTATTTTTTATTTACACACCTAATTTTCTTTTTTTACTAACGTTGATGGACATCCGATTTTGTATGAACAAATTTTTAGTTTCACAAAAAATAATTAGGGAAATTATCATACGCGATCAGTCACTATCATTGTCATCACTGATAACGTAGCTCGTAACACATTCAGCATATTGAATAATCGAGTATTGATTGACTTGCAGAACGATGTTGAAAAATGAAGACGACAGAATTAAAGAAAATTGAAATTGAAAGAACGTTAACAAATGCATGAAAGTGAATGACTATCTCTTGCCAAGCGGCGCTGAGATTTCTTGCTTGAAAAAAAAAATCATCATAGCATCAACCTTGCGGATGATCCCATTGGTTTACGGAGATAGGATGGGCGTGGCACTAAAGGGATTGGTCCAGCGGTGGTAATCTCTCGGATGCTGCGAAAATAAATATATAGGCAACACATTGTTTCGGCGAAACCGCGTTCTTAGGTCGGTTGGTTTTTTAAGACTTATTTATTTTCAATGTTTATCCCAGAATGAAAAGTCGATGACTATGTTACCGACGATACCAGCCAACTCTGGTAAGATCATATTTATTCCTATCGATTTATGTAAAATTAACGAATGTGTAGCCAATACTAATATTTTCCGGTTAGTAGAGTTTATATATCCTAAAAAGATTTAAAAAATTTGCTTACATATATATGTACACATTTCGATAAATCATTCAAACGAATCTGACTGAAATACAGGTAGAGTATCTTGTTTCAGTCATCAATCCTTTTTCCTTACTGAGTATGGTCTTTTGGGAATAATATTGTGAAAGAATGAAAGTTAGAGAAAAAGTTACGAGGATCTTGTTCTGGGGTCTTGGGGACCCCGCAGTTTCTTAAAGCTTCACGTATACCCGGCGCATTTTATAGTACGGAAAAATATGGCCGATTATATCTCTGGAAGCCATATGGTTATCTTTGTATACAGCTTTCGGTATATACAGTCACTTAGCTGTTTATTTGAAGAGCCATGTTTGAAGCGGCCTCTACCCACACGCCAAGAATATTCTAGAGGATATGTACACACCCTGGGCCTCTATTCGATTTTATTAGGTTTTAGGATTTTCGGTAGTCCACCGCGAAAAACGATGATTCTCAAGTTTCAGCTGTTGCGGGTTTTTTTCTTTGTCGATCATTAGAAACTGTCGATTCTACGATCGACGAACACGCAAAGTACAATATTTATCAAGGATGAATTAGAAAATTCTAATAGCCAGAGTTTCTAACGCGTACACTTATTACCCTTGAAAAAAGGAGATTTAAGGTTGAATACAATTTTTTTAATTTTATTTTTTTTTTAATTATATTCCAGTGAGAGAGAATATATGACAATTTTGAAGTTTCAGAGAAAGTTCGTCGGGGAAATGTTCACGACCTCATCATATCTCTACGAATCAACCAGACTCTATGAACCTTGTTGATGGACAATTTAAGGCGGTAATAATTTTAATTACCCTAGACACATACTTCTTCACACTTGGAACATTTCCCAACTTCTGCAATCTCAATATTTCGATGATATGCTTGAATTTGTATTTAGTTATTAATGAATTCCTAAACGCGTTAGACCACCTGCTATGCGCAGCAGGTAGTCCCCACTCTTAACCAGGTGCATATCGAAAATTCTGGTGATAAAAAACACTGCTACTTTGAACGGATGCATTAAGAAAAAGTTATCGTGTTATATATATCTATGCATATGCCTATGTGCACATATACATATATTGCATGCATAGGTACCTATAGATATATAATCTCATGCATTAACATGAGCAATGAATTTAAGAAACTGCGTTTACGTACATTATTGCACGGGTTTAGAACTTTATTTCATATCTTTATTCTCGGTAACATACTAAATGACATTCAAAAAATTATACCGAAATTTACATACTAATTGTATAGGGCATAACCACGAGAAAGCATTATCATCCCTTTGTATAATCTCTCCGTGTCGAAATCATTCGCCATTGGATCCAGAAAGATATAATTTCTTTTGGGTCGCTTATATTTTTGCAAATTTTGAAGATTCTGCAAATCGATTGAATTACATAAATTTTTAATAAAAGAATTCAACGATGTTTATTCTAATTCATTTAATTTGAAATTATATCTACTTTGTATACTTTATTTTTACTTTACCGACAAAAATATAACATTCGAGTTGGGGGCAGCTACTGCATTGCGTCTAATGCCCGCTATTATCAAAGCAAGTAAATATCCACCGAAAGCTAAAAAAGAAAGCGTCGTAATAGCGAGTTGAAAAATTTTCGAAATTTTCGAATCTTTCCCCTTTTCTTCGTAATAATGGTCTTCGTATCTTCTGTTGGGTTTTTTCTCACTCCTTTTCAACGGAAGCGCTGCAGGCAATGTGGATACCGATTTGCGATCCTTTTTTCTCTCCACTTTGATTGGTACTGATTAAAATCATTAAGTATGATTTACTGAAGTACACTATAACATCAAATTCATAATTTTATGTTTACTTACCATCAGTGTCGATGAACGATGATTTTATTTGAAGTAGTTTATCCAATGGAAGTTCACTCAGGCTTCGTATTTCATTTGGAAATAATTTGACATGATTGTTTGCCACCAGCAAATTAAAATAACCACAAAAAAGGATGAGAGCAAAGTTTCCACGAGCTTTTTTGAAACCAAACATTTTTCAAATCTCACGTGTCTTTGACACTTTAAATTTGTTCTTCGTTCACGTAACGATCCTTTGTCATTTATGTACCATTATTTTACGTTAATTACATATACGTAACTTTGTATATTTTTTTACTAAAAATAAATAAGTCCAAAAAATATCTGATATTAATGTTTATATGAAAATTTGACAGATTGTTCTACGCTGTTTACTGTTTCTAACAGAACTCTTAGAGGTGTTAACGATAACTGTCCTGGACAAAATTTAACTGTTAATCCAACATCTTCTTTGTGCTTGGTTAGTAAAGCGCAAAGAACGCTTCAAATTACAGGCAGTTTCTGTATTTACGTGTAAAAAAACACCTTGAGTAACGCACTGAATGCGATGACATAATTGCTATCTTGACACCCGTTACATGGACCCTCTGCACGCTCAGTATTTCACTGACTGTTACTCTGTAAGTATGTCGAACTCCGTAATTCTCTATGGACTCTTAGCCATATTTCTTATGGAATTTTCAAAATTATCCGTGATGGCTCAGAACGATGGTGAGTGATGAAATTGTTTTTGTCCAGATAGAGAATTTTGGTAAGACCTGATTTGTATTTATTTTCAGGTGTTCTACACAAAATAAAGGCTGGTTTGCAATATGCAAGTGACTACTTAAAAACCGCACGGCAAATTGCCGATCTTGTATCGGCGAGTCTTGGTGAGAAAAAGGGTGAAGACGGAGATGACGGACATGACGAAACACGAGATAGCGCCGGCACAAGTAGTTTGCTTTCCGCATTTTTTCGCCTGCTCGGTTTGGATTCTCAAAAGATCGGTGCGATCGCTATCAACAGTGCTATATTCCTCGCTCAAATGGTACTCAAGTGATTTACGATTTCACTATTAGAAACCATCACGGTTTTCGAGAATCGTAAACATGATGAATCAAACGGCAGATTTTAATTGCTTTGGATTAATCAAGCTTTAATCTTGTTGCTATACAGTTGACTGATATTATTTCAGATAAGCTCTTTATTTGAAATCAAACCAAAACTCGAACAGGGACGAATGATAAATGACGAAGAGGAACCACTGGATCCACTTAAGTTCATACTGGATAATAAAAACGAACGGGTAATTATGATAACGTGATAAGATACCTATTGCAATTTTTCAACGAAATCATTTTCCTGAGATCAAACGAATTTTTAACTGCTATTACAATATTGAGAAGTATGACTAGTAACGGGGCCAGGAAATTTTACCTCATTAAAAAATAGAGGGAACGACTGGATGGAGTTTTTAAAAAAAGGGCGACGTTTGATACCCCTTCTCTTGTACTTAAATTCTGTGAGCAAATTCATTCAAGTGGAAGAAGTAGAATTGTCGGATTCCTCATAGGCCATGAAAAATGCATCAATAAGATATACATTTATTTCAGTCAGAAAGAAAATATTTACCTGTTAAGGAGACTGGGGAGTGGAAACGGCCATTTTGAGTTTACAATTACGAAAACTCTAAATTACACGTAACTGATGTATCTTTATCCAACTCGAGTACATCCAGATCTGTGTAAATTCCACAATTACTGAAATAGCACTCTTTTAAGGAATAATATTGCTAAATAAAGGAATGAGATGCTGATCAAATTTTTGCAGAAGCTTCTATCATGTCAAAAAGTTGCATGCTTTCCATTCCTTCATTTCACAAGTATTCCGCACGAAAGTATCATGCAAGTAACAGTGCAACTTGCAAAAATCTTCATGCACTAAGCTTGCATGAGAATGTATTATTACACTGTTATAAATTACGATGTTTCATTTCGAGGTTAGAAAGTACTCCACAGTCCTCTTAAACGGGAAATTTTCTAAGCGAAGAAACTCCATATACGCGTAATACCCATACTGAGGGGAGTTTTTATATGACGAGTTAACTCGTTTTTTCCGCTAAAAGGTTAAATGTCAGAATTGCTTTCCTGGCAGCAAAAACTCTCTTTCAAATCCAATATTCATTTGAAAGTTTATTTCAGTCTGAAAAGGAAAAGACTAATTTACAAATGTTACTATGTAAAAATACTATGATTACTAGATGTTTAACCTTAAAATTCTAACAAACTAATTAAAGTTTATTTGATCACACAACGCCATTCGGTGTCAAGTATGAACAGCAGTGATCGACCATTGACACAACTGTCAATAAGTTAGCTCGCTTTAATTTTAGAGAAAATGATCCAAATTGCAATTGCAAACGGATTTTCGTTAATAATGAAATCAGTTGATGGTCACTCAGTTAAAAATTTTGGAAAATAAACAAGAAAACTTATAATTCCAATAAACACTATATACCCAAGCTAATAACATTGCTACTCAAGTGCATACGAATAACCTAGTACTCTTTGGGGCAGTCTGATACGTCGTTAAATTACACACAGCTCACAAATCTGAACGTAAACGTTATTAAACAAGAGCTGGAACTAGATCTTTGTTTGAATGACGTCAACTGCAGAACAAAAGTAGGTTATAAGAAAGGCTCTTAACTGTCGTCAATTTTAATCGCATCAACATTAACGAGACAAAAACCTGGAAATACTATAAAAATTACCGAAACTAAAAGGCACACAACTATCAGTCGCCAATAATTTTGACCAAGACATACTTTCAAAACGGAAAGATTTAGTGCCTTTGGTAAAAAAGTTGAAAAATAGTTTATACAAAACTGAAGTTTGTGAAAGATACATTTACATTGGCAATATTGGTAACTTTGAAAGATAAAGCAACTGCATTAATCAAGAGTAAAATTAAAAAAAAAAAAGAAAAAGTCAAAGAGGAATGATGAATTTGATGAAAAGGTTTATAATTAAGATTAAAATGAGCTTCAAGATTTACTGTTGTCACAGGCTTCTATACTTCAGAAAAATCTAAGAATTAAATAATCAAATATACTCGAGACATTTGCAGTTAACAAAATTAACGTGCACAATATTAATACGGTTTTATGCTTTCACTAAATTCAAAAAAGTATAAAGAGGTAAAGGACAGGAGTTATGTAAAGATCCATGTCAAGAATCTTATGGAGGTCCGAAAAATTATGGGCTTGTTTAACATTAATGATGAATCTAAGTAGAAATTTAGATCTTTTTAGAATTCACAATTCGGCCTAATATTAGCGGAAAATTGATCTGAATTGTAATTCTTATCGATAGGCCTAATATCGTCAAATCACAGCCTGCACCGGCCTGTTCGTAAATATAACGAAATATACAGGGTGTTTCTATTATCTCTGCCACTCGATATAACTCGGTAATTATAGATGTAACAAGAAAATATTTCAAACAAAAGTTGTACGGTGTGGAGGGGGCCACCAAATGCGACCAATTTTTTTTATTTCAGTGAAGGTGACCTTCACTTTTTTAAATAGAATGGTACATTTTTTTTTCAACCATCTTGTGGAGCACATCAAGCCGCATAAAAAAGATTAAGGGGTCAAAGTCGTTCAAGATCATTCAAGGTCAGTATCGATGATACAAATCTAAATATCTCGGATCACTACCAAATATTTGGTAGTCATCTTTAATGTCCCCCATAAAGAAAAATCGAGTGGATTTAAGTCCAGTGATCTAGCAGGCCAGCCTATTCGTGATCCTCGGTTAATCTGCTTATTACTAAATAATATAAAATAAAATAATAATATAATAATAAAAAAAATTTGTCGCATTTGGTGCCCCCTTCCACACCGTACAACTTTTGTTTGAAACATTTTGTTGTAACATCTATAATTACCGAGTTATTTCGGGTGGCAGAGATAAAAGAAACACCCTGTATATGGTCTATTGGCACAGTTCACTTCCCAAGCATACATATCTTGTGCGATTCCTTTAGCAAAAGAGGATGAATGTACATACTTCTTATTACATGATCGACGTTTCATGGCCTTGCAACAATGTTACAGCTTCTACTTGAATGAATATGTTCAAAGAATCAAATTACAAGGAAACGAATATCAAATGCCACCTTTTGTTTCAAAATTCCACCCAATTTTCCCATCTACTTTTTTTTTTAGTGAGACGAAGTTCCTAACTCTAAATGATTACTCATAATAAACATTTTAATATGCTGAACTTCTATAACGTACCGTTATGAATGAAAATAAATGTTTTGTATTTCCACTCGAAAATATTTGTTCGCAATTTATGTAATTTGTTCGAGGGGTGTTACTGACGATTAATCCTTTCGTTACGGTTGCCGACTATAGTCTACATCTATGCGACGACCTGTGACGACTCTTGTCACTAAGAATTATAATTTGATATACATATATGCTCTTAAAAAAGTGTACATACAAGAGAATCCCAAGGTGGCGTTGAAATACGTAAAGGCGAACACCGAAGACTACGGACGTGCAATGTGCACACTTTGCGGCGCGATGCCCCGTTCAGTGACGTCACTCTAGTGGAGCGGACCGCCGTAACGAAAGGGTTAATTTATTTTGCTTTGCATGGGTATCGTCTCAGCAGATCGTATACTATGCGGAATACGGAAGCTAATCTTGTTTAAAAATATACGCCGATTAATTTGACATAGCAATACTGAAAAATATACTTTTTTTTAGATTCAGAAATTAATTGACCAGGCACAAGACACGAATTTACCTGATCAACTTATGTACCGCATGGACGGCTTGGACTCGTCCTGCATCAGACTTCTGCTTTGTAAAACGTCACCAATTATTTGGGCAGTTCAAAATTCATTGAAAAACAACACCGAAAATCCGTATAAAGAAAAAATTCAAAGTATCACATCCTGGCTTCCTTCGAGAGCAGAATTTGAAGAAAACTCTGATACCTGCGAGGATATACATAGAGATTGTAATTTATATCCGGAATCTTAGAATCTACAAGGAGAATAAAATCCGTATCTTGAGGTGGGTAAGACTGCATCAACCATGCAGTTGCATTGTATCATCGCCGTTGCAACAAAATTTATATCTTGTGTGCGAAATGTTTAAACTGGAAATGCTGTGGATTTTTTTAAATGTTGCTGTTTCATCTAAATCCTCAACTTGATTTCTTTTAGAAACATTAACCCGATTGATAAAGTCATTCGCAAAGAATTTTGGAAACTGATATATAACATTCTTCAGCGTTTTTGATTACGCAACAATTCTAGAAGCGGAAGTATTAAATATCTACAGAAGTTGCTGTAACGTTCGAATGACAGTTTTATACTAACGGTAAAGTAGGAAATGAAATACCGATCGAGTCTACTTTTCCGATTTCCAAGTGGCCTGTTTAGGGTCGAGTCTTTTGGAATTTACCCGGGATCGGCCTTTTACTCTGACCCAAAGACGTTAAGAGAATGTGATCGTACAGGAATGTGATCGTTAACTAATTGGAATTATAAAAGAATTTAACAGAATTGGACTCCTACTGATAATATGATAAATTTGATCTTGAATAATGTTATCTTTGTAGGTGCTGAATGAAATAAGAATAGAATTGGTAATTTATTATGAAAATAAAAAATTAATAAACTGTGGGATATTTTTAAAGATTGAATATGTACATATCATAAATTCAACACAATAATAATTCTATAAATCAAAAGCAACTTACGTTTATTCGGCTTATTCTCAGTAAGGCGTATGAGATTGACCAGTTGAGACTTTAAATTCTGTACCTAGAAAATTCTTGGAATTGACTTAGAATCTGAACTTGTACTCGGGATTCGAACTTTGATTTTGAACTTCAATTTTTATTCAGGCAAATGGGCTACTGTGTCTTCTGATTTTTTACTTCTAATCCGCGACTGCTACTGTTTCGCCTAATTTTTGGTCCTGTAGCCTAGATAAGATTCTCACTCTTTCTTTCAGATGTCTTTGGTAGCTCCTTTTGAGAAATGACCCAATAAAATATTTAAGAGAGAATGTCCTGCCAGCAAGGTAACACCTACATTCGAAATATAATTTCTCACGTAAATTTCAATTCGATCCTAAGAGTGGCTCGTTTAGAATTTTTTATACTGATTCTAACATTAATTTTTCGTATCTTTACATACCAGTTTATATAGCCCAAATGCATCACCTGAACATAGTTTTACAATAAGACTCAAATGGATGCGCTGTCTTCAGGTGGTGCATTTTTACTGAATAAAGGTATATACGCACCATCTTGAAATTGAAATCGATGGACATCTGCAAATCTTATTATATCATCAATATCCGCAATTTCATTTCTTGTGCAAATTTTAATTCGATCGAATTTGGATTTTTGGAACGCACAGACGTAGATCCTCTTATTGGCGATGGCAACTGGATAAAAACCTAAAAAAGGCTGGTTAAAATTTCACGATTATAAAAATTCATACCCATAAGAAGAACAAATTGCTTTGTCAGATGGTTGTCCAGTATAATTTATTACAATGAAAAATTGAAAATAATTCGCGACATATCTTGTTTCTAAGTTTGATTATTACTACTATATCAGTGCAACTTCAGGTTTTATGGTATATAGTACTGCATCTTGTGTGCGTATCTACATATTAATATGTCGGAAGGTCATACGAAGAAGTTTAATAGACCGATGGAAATAATTTTTATTCGAGGATAATCAGTATAATCATTAGCTTATTTACTGTAAGAGACTATACATATAGTCTTCTACAAGGAAGGTACGGATTCACTATAGTAAGGACGGTACTACTGTAACACTATACTTCAAATTTTTAAGAACGACTCTGACATTCTATTAGAATTTAGTTAAATAAGGAAAAACTACAATGAACTTTCTGATCTTCTGTAAAGGACAATAAATGATATTTCTTGTAATTACGTAACTGTTGAATCATAGCATTCCCTAATAAAATGAACACTATTATTAGTACAATGTCTCATTTGTCTTTTCTGTAAGATTTCGAGGTTCACTATCTGTCATCAATTACTCTACGTATATTACATATCTAATGAGATCATACTTGTTCACTGTCTCTAACGTAAGCTATGTAGATATTTCAGGGTAGAGAATCCAATCTTTTTAAACTGTTTTATGCAATGGTAATTCAATCAATTATAGACTGTATACATTAGCCCAATAAAATTTGGCATACCATGATCGTTTCCCTGTAATGATTTACATAAATTATGTATGCATATACATATAATGCATATCATACTTTACATGTTATCGATTACTCTAAGTTTGGCATTCGAGAAATTGTTAGGTTATGTTAGAGTTAAGGTTTTTGGGTTTGAACGACACTTTGGAACCGCGACCAAGTTCGAAACTCGAATAGCGTTAAAATTGATCGATAAATCTCAACGTCATCAATAATGATGATCGTAAATAGTTGCTGTTTAATAAATAGACACATGATTCCCTCAACTTTGTTTTCCTGTTCATATTGAAAATACGGACAACGACAGTCTGTATCGTAGTTCGAATAGAAACGCAAAGCAGTGACTCAAAACAAAGGCACTTTTTTTTTATCCGTAATCAAAACGCATCTCGAGTTTCCGTATCGACAGTTCCGAGGATTCTAAAACATTTTACAGATTTTCGAAACGCCATCTTACAAACTCCTAATTCAATATCAATGTATATCACATTCTCGCGCGCAACGTAACGAAACATTGACTATATCATTGATATATCTATAAATGATCTGAAATATATTATAATATAATAAACATATGTCACACGGTATCCATAAAAAAATGAATCGAAAATATATAGAGGTGTAACAGATTTTACAAATCATTCGATTTTCGTATTATACAATCGCCTTGGGTTATTTACAAACGAAATTTTTCTACATTTCAAAATTGATATTAGCAACACGAGTATACCGATGTGTTACACTCTGTGCGCCGATACGACTGCACAAGTTCAATTAACATTATAAGTGCATTGGATCACGTTGATCAATAGATTTTTTTTCCTACTTGAAACTTCTGGACACCGCATAGAAAAATACGCATTTTATATTTTTCCGCGTATACATGTCAAATCACAGAGTAGACTAGAGGTTCATTGAAATCGGTTGACATTGGCTGTATTAGAAATCTCATAAATATTCCGCGCCCAAGCATACAAATTATAATCAGGAAGTGAACTTGGCTCTACGTCGAAAAATAAAAAAATCTAAAAACGATGCATAATTGTAAAAATCTAAACAATTTTCCAATTCTAATTGCATAATTCTAACGAATCATTAATTACACTGTGTAATCTGGAATTGATAGTATTTCAGTCTGACCACAATAACTTTTGACGACCCGAATACAACTTCTTCAACCTTGACTGGATCACGAATTGATAATTGAACCTACTTCACTCATGGTTACAATTGTAACAAACAGCAGCCTGAACTTGGGTTGAGATCGAACCGAAAATGAGAATCGAGGACTTGAGTGCTCTTGCGCGTGTCCCTGGCCTCAACATTTAAGAGGTCTGGGTACCATAAGAAACCGAATAGTCCTCATCGCAATGCTCCAAAATGAATTTTCCAAATCGTCGAATTCGTCTGGAGAATTTTTTTCTTACAGAGTAGCTTGACCCGGACTGACTAGATCCGTACTCTCGACGCGGGCCTGCCTAAGCCAATCCCTGAGATTGCGTGTTCTTTCCATCAAGTTCGAAACTGTTCTTTCGACCGTGCCCACGCTGGTTGTGTAACCGTTGTTTGGTCCGTATTGAGCTATGATGTTCTGGGTGGTTGTTATTGGCGGATGAGTGCCAGTCAGCTGAGACAAAATGTTTGAGTGGATATTTGGAGTCCCGAATGCTGTTAAAAGATATAAATACTTGGATACTTAACTGATGCAATGTATAAACTGTAGTATTGACGATAGCTTATAAACTAGGTAAACAATCTTTTCAATGGCATGACTAGATATATTATTATAGATTTTTGCTTGCTAAAGGGATATCATGTATAAAATACTCATGACAGAAATTTTATTCTTAGGATATTCCATAGGGGTATCAATAACGTATGAGAAACTTCTACGTCAGTTAAAGAACGTTTTGTCTTTGCAAGAAAACGCTGCATTTAGTACTGCAAGTATAATATCGTTATGTAGCGTTTGTTAAGCATTGGATTGTTCCTGAACGCGAACGAGTGAATGTTTTTTGATCGAAAGGTACAAGAAGCTTTTGTTAAAAAGAAATTGACCTTGCACGTTGTTTGGTTGCGGAGATAGTGCTTGGTAAGGTAGCCATCCAAGATCTGAATACATGAATGTAGGTGGTGGAGGTATGTTATTATCCTGACGTTTATTCAAAACTCCCCAAATCTCACGTATTTCCGAATTCAGATTTTCCAGGCTCGCAATTATTTCAGTTGACTCTTGATAATGGTCCGGCTTATCTAATCGAATGAAAATGCGACAGTTATCAATTTTATAAGACACCCCCTGATATTATCATAAGAAATACAAATTCGTTTCTAAATTTAAATGAATGTGACATTAATGTTTTCAACGGTAAACAATTAATTACCTATAAAGGTATCGGTTGCCACATCCGTCGAACTGAATCCACTGCTGGCGCTCGACATATCGCTCAAAGTCAACTCATCATTCTTCGTCGCCATAGAATCATTCTCATTTTTTTTAGCATTAGCTACTCTTTCCAAAGATTGCTCCAGATGTCTCAGGTGAATGACTTTCTCACCCAGAAGACTTCTCGTGCGGTGCAAGCTCACTTCCATGTCGGAGAGTTCGCGTTCCTCCTGACAATAAATAAAAAAGACCAGTTTTCAATCAAAAGCGTTTGCGGCTTGTCTCGGGTTAAGTGCTAAGTTTTTTTATTTCAGAAAAAAAAATTTCTTCGAGCTCACAAACTAATGGCAATTGCACAGATTTTGAAGAAGGGAATTGCTTTCGGAAGCTTCAACATTTCCAGATAATAATGAAGATGGATCTTAATTAGAACGTGTACCTGCACTATTTGCTCGAGAGTAGATTTTGCGCTTCGTTGTTTCCAGGCTCGCTGCTGGCCCTGAAAAGCACTTCTCTGTTGTCTCAATGCCTCTCGAGCTCTTCTCACGGAATCCCTTTCCACGTGGATTCGGTGTCTGAAGAATTTCAGTTCCGCTGACGCGGTCGCCGGCGCTGAAAGCAGAGATCGCTTGAGCTTCCTTCGTTCCAACGTGATATGGATGCACTTGCGTGCTTTAGCGCCGGAGATGAAGCTTTAGCTCGCGTGGCTTCGAGCGGAAAATGAAGAAGAGAAGCGCGAGTGGATGCGTGGCGAAAAGAAGATCAACCAAGAAATGGCTTAGGTTAGGTTAGAAGCAACGGAAAAGAGGCGATAGACTTACGAAAGGTGGAAGAAGAAAGTCGTTAACCAAAGTAAATAGTATAGAGTCCTAAAAAAAGTAAAAAGACATTTCAAAACGTTGACAGTGACGTTTATCAAGCGTGTTTCCAAAATTTAGAGGGTTTTTGAAAAAATGATTCGAGGCGCGAGACGAATCCTCTAACAGAAGAAGCACAATGTAGAATTATTTAGGATTGCTTAAATTTGTAAATCGTCGTAATGAAAATTTCAAGTGCGTTGATGTAGTTTCTTGAAAGTTTAAAAAAAGAGTTACCTTTATCTTGAAAGGGATATCTAAGTGTATAGGCCGTGTCGTTACTCGGTAACTGATCTCCAAGATCCTCCAGTTTCTCCAGTTGTTTCCTAATATTCTCCACAGGATTCTCAAGGTTGTTGTTAAGTTTCGAAGGACTGGCCGCCTTTTTCGTAAAAGTCTTCTTTTTCTTCAAGAGATTCGAATTAGTCTCGCTTGCCGTTGTATCGTCCGATTCGAACTTCTGCGCGTTCTTCATGTAGACAATGGGCTTTTGGAAGTCGAGGGATTTGGGACCGTCCGAATCCTCCGCGCCACTCATATTCTGGTTCAGACCTTCCGCGGGCTTCGAGTTTGAGATCGAGTGTGTTTTTTTGATCGGGTCTCTGAAGGAACGAGTTAAGGCCTATAGCCAGACATTAGGCGAATCGCATGGGAATGATAGAGTACCCTTACGGTTCGTGATTATTCATCCAAAACTACAGGAAATAATTGTGATATAAATATATGCAGCAATAATGGATGAATTTGATCGACCGTGAAAGTACTATGGTTTATTGAAAATGGGGGTGCAAAGATTTTATTAAAAAAATGCCTAAAGTCGATACAACGAAGAAGAGCAAGCTGTGCATTCATCAGCCCCCTGATCCCAAAGAAAAAAGTATCTAATAGGTTAAATGGAAACTCACTTTTGATCAGATGATTCCGTTCGATCAGTTCTCGTCCTTGCTGATGTGGATTTTTCTGTTTCTGATGCTGTCGTATTACCCTCCTTCTTCTTATTTCTTCGTTCCACTGCGAGTCTCACGTCATTCTTCAATTTCAGGTACTTCTCTTTGAGCGTCTTATATTTATCTTCTAGCAATCGTTTTTCACAGCGAATCTTTTCGAAATCAACAGTCTCCTGACGCGAGATCCGTTCATTCTGTTTCTTGGCCTCTTTCTCAACGTCTTGCGAAAAATCATCCCTTATATCTTTCAATCGTTGCTTATAACCTTTCCTGGCGAGACTCTCCTGAAAGTATAATGCCGAATAAATCTCTTTTTTTTATTACCAAAATTTAAATTATTCCTTAAAGTAGTTCTAAACACTGAACATACTCACGCTCATTCTGAAATCCTTAAGCATTTCTGCTAGACACTTCTCGTGATCTTCTGTGATCTTGGCAATCTTCTCTCTCTGTTGCATTCTTAAGTTTGCCCTTAGGTCGTCGTATTCCTTTTCCAATTCCTTCTTCAGTGCCTCGATTTTTTCTGTATGCTGTTTATTCAATTCGAATTGAGTGAGTTTTGCAAGTTTCTCTTCGCCCAATGATCTCTCGTACTCGGTCTCCAACTTTTCGATCTCTACCTTCCTTAGCTCTAATAATTCTTGCCGCTTTTGGTCCAATTCAGTCTTCAAGTTCGACAGGATGTCCTGCTTTTCCTTTTCATAACAAACCTCTAATTCAGCTTTGACCTTGCTCAAATTATCTAATCTAACCCGGTCCATCTCACTTATCAATTTCTCAACTTCCTCCTTCTCTCTGTCAAGCATATCCTCTCTGAGATCCTCCAATTTAACTTTGATGTTCTCTTCCAAGAGCTGCTTCTGCTCCAGGAACTTTCCTTCTAATTCCCTTTTAACTCGTTCCAATTGAACCGCAAATTCTTTCTTCAAAGATTCCATTTCCTTGTCATGTTCTGTAATCGCCGTTGCTTTCAAGTCTTCTATGCTTTTTGAGTTTTCCATCTTTAGCTTTGACTTTCGTTCATGCTTGGCCACCTCGAGGTCGTGCCTGATCTTCATCAAGTGATATATTTCCTCTTTCTCCCGCTGCATTTCACTCTCCATTCTACGATCGGACATTTTCATGTTTTCCAACATAATCTCTTTGCTCTTACGAATATCATCCAATTGTAACGATCTCATGCCATCGCTACTCCTGGCCGTACTGTCCGTTTCACTTTTTGACGCAAGATCAATATTTTTCACATTCTCGAATTTCCCAGAGACAAAATCATTCTCGACATCATTAACTACACTTTTCGTGACCTGTTGGAAGTGTTCGTTTTCAGAAACATTTTGAACAACGAATCTTCTGCCCACGACCTTAGTTTCTTTCGGCGCTGAGTTTACGCTGCTCTCCATGTAACCATCCTTATTCGCACTGTCTAAATTCCTATTCCCATTTTCCTCATTGTCGGCACTAGTTTTCGAATCAAAGTCCCATGTGTTTTGTCTCTGGAGTATCGATTGATATTCGCTATTTTGCTTGTGAGTAATTACGGCCGATATATGAACATTCTGCTCTTCGGATTCAGATTCCCAATCGTCATCCGATCCGGAGTACGTGAACTTAATGTCGACTTCCTTTTCCAAATCGAATCGAACGCTCTTCCGCTCCTCGTCAATGTGTCTGTCGTCTGAGAATAAATGAAAACCCAATAAAAACGAAAACTTCTATCTACAGGATCCCTTTCCTCTACATCGTCCATCCATACATGAACAACTAGTACAAATGTGTTGAGCATTTATGAAAAAGGGTGTAAAAGGGACAAGAGTCGCGCAACTCACCGTCCTCCGATGGCTTCTCTCGCAAGATCGATTTTGGCCTATCCCCAACGGCGTTACTCAACTCGGTCACGCCTGCAAGGATCCGAAGATTCTCTAACGAGGCAGCATCCTCGGATGGTTTCTCACGTAGAATTGATTTTGGCTTCTCGCACGTCACGTTTCCCGTATCGTCAGATTTTCGAAATACTTGAAAATCCTCGAGCAAGACACTCTCCTGACTCGGAGTCGTGTCCCTGCTCCTGTTACTCTTCAGGAACATGAAGCCACCACCGCTGAGGGTGAGTTCCCTCTGCTGGCCAAGCTGTCTTGGATGTTTCTCCTTGTCGAATCTCTCCTGCGGCTTCTCGACTTTCGTCAAGGAAGCGACACTCAATTTGTCGATATCAATGATGTTCTCCTCGGAGCTGAATCTACTGGATAGCTGTTCCCAGTCCTTCTCGTATCGTGGGCTCAGGGATTCGGATCTTTTGAGTACTTCCTTGAGATCAAGTTCCTTCCTCGGAAATTCCTGCCTCGGGGCATCCAAGAGCTTTGGACTCTCGTAGAACTTCGGATCTTGAAACCTGAGATTCGTGTAATCTCTCGAAGCTCTGTCGCTGCTGATGCTGCTCAGATTTTCCGACCTGGGCTCGCTCTCTTTCCGGGAGCGATGTTTCTCAAAGATTGGATCCTTCTTGCGCATAGCTGGTCCGTCGACCTTGGATTTTCGCAGTGGTACCAGCTTCGATGGAATCTTCGTGGTCGGTAAGGAAGTCTTCGCAGACTCTTTTGGCAGGGTTGCTTCCTCGTGGGACTCCAAGTCCTTGGCCGTTGTCTTCGAATCTTCTTCTGCGAGTAAACGATTTTTCTTTGTACTTTTGTTAGCTCTTGGGTCGGGAAGAAATATGGTGCGGAAGCTTGTTAAAGCCGAATGTCAAAAGTACATTGGGATATAGATAACGTCTCTTTTATTCAATCGCATTACTTTCCTACAATACGTAATCCGTGCTTTGAAACATTTTCTTATCTTGTTTACACTTTTCACACTTTATCTCAATTCTAAGAACCGATCCAGCGTCTGTTCGTAGCTGCCATTCGCAATTCTTTCCGTTTCAATAAAGATAACGTTATTGGAGTGAAAGTAAAGTTCGTATACATTAAATTCTTATAAAACCTGAAAATAGTTTTCTCCATTCAGTCCATTTCATCTATTTCAGTCCAATTACCAAGAGTAGTATATTAAATTAATAAAAAAACGAAGGTAAAAGAACAAAACTGGGTATTCACTCGATTACTGATTAATTTAGTACCTGCACCTCAATTGCGTTATGTAATCAAGATTTTGTAATTGAATCGTCGACTTACTTTTAATTACACTATAATTGTGACGAAACGTTAGCCTCGGTATCTCATGAACTAGATCCAAAGTGTATAGGATGAATAGTGTCGCCTTGTTCACTAGTGACCTTGAAACACGTACCAACGCTAATCTGCCGATTACCCAGCCTGGCCTGTTCCACCAAACCCTTGTACACAGCATCGAGGGGATGTTCCCAGGTGGTAGTTCCCGTGGAAGCCTGATAATAATACCATGCTCCGGTGGCTTCGTGGAAACAGGGTGACCATCCCTTTGGTAAAGCGGCCATGAGGCCCTCCTGGGCCAGATCCAGAAGGTGTGGTTCGGCATCCGGGTCAATTCCCAGGCGTTTAGCATAGTCTACGACCTCTGCAACATGCACGATTACCATAGATTCGTAATACCAAAGAAACAAAACTCAATTACAAAATTCCACTCCCTTTGATGACAATTTTTTACGGAAGACCCGATCAGACTCAATTATAAAATCCAAAGAGCAAACTACACAGTATCTTTATCTTTGTCGACCAGGAAGTGAAACGAAAATGTTCCCGTTTTTATAAAAATAATCGGCACCACAAGAAGTGCATTTGAAATCTACACAAAATGTATGTGAAAAAATATAACAGTGGACCGTATTATCCACCGCATCACAAACTGTCGTAAATAATGTAGATCGGTCGAAAGACCGTAGGTTGAACGTTGAAAGGGGTTGATTAAAAATTCCATCAAGGCTGCTTTGACAGGTGAGCCGGCATATGGGGGTGAGCCCCTACGCCAGCTGGTGCCTGACTGCTAAAGTTTCAACCGATACCATCGACGAAGTAAGACACGTCCTATCGTATTACCAAAGATTAAGCTACGTTCGTAAATGGTTCAAATCCAAGTTTTACGTGGGTTTGCATAGAAAGCTGCATCCCGTATTTTTTTTACGTAATAATGATATATCCTCTAGACAAAAAGGAAGTCGCATGCATTCACAGTCGAACGAGACACCGCGAGGCCGACGACAACATTTTAGCCGCACTGCGGACTCTATTGATTTTCCTTGCGATGCTAGGCCGGACGCACGGTGCTCGTGGCAGCTCCGGTGTAAATAAACAACAAAAACGTTCGCATCATGCGTATTACTCTTTACGAACGATTGGCTCTTCGATATTTCGACTTTACATTTCCTGCTCAAACAAAATAATTACGAGTTGATCGTCATGGTCATAGTCTATGCTACGGTAACGCGGCTGCTCGATACAGCGATTATTACCAAATGCTTTTATTTATTACTTTTATGTTAATTTAAAGTACTTATGAATCGTATATTTGGATAATTTATTAAGGATTGAATATTGTGCTTGAACGAGCATTGTGTAATGTTACGTATGTTTTTTTTAAAATTCTTTAATGAATCCATGTTATAGATATGGCGGTTTATTGGTTCTCAAATTAATTTTGCATCGGACATTCCGTAGAGGTAAATAATGTATTAGCACGATGATAATAACGATGATAGAAACGACGGTATTCTATTCTTAGTATGTTAAGCACTTGACTTGATTATCGCAGAGCATATCACGGTTTGGTTTTTTCATGAATTATACATGTTATTCGTGTGTAAAAAAGAGAATTATCCGTTGGTAGAGAGTACTATGTATTGAAAAAGTCAAATTTTATAAAGAAAATCAGTCGCGTATGTATTAATAATTTATTGATTCATATTTCAGCTGGAAACGACACGTGCTTCTAGTCAGGAATAGTAAGAGTGATTGTGACAATCTGCTTAGATAATATGTCGATATTGGAATGAGACACATAAGGTTACAAATTATCGGCGCTTATATATATATATATATATATATATGTGTACCTTCGTTCGAGGGATGGGAAGCTTCATCGAAAACCTCTCGACACACGATGGTAGCTGCACTGTCTTGAGAAATACTCATTTTTGGATTATGGTTACATTACGACTTGAAATTCGTGGCGATAATACCGCGGAAAAAGCACGGGAAATTCACGGGATTCTGACATTTTCACGGATGCGCGAACCGAACCGTGCGACGGTCAATGTTAAATTCAACTGGAATACAGGGAGAGAGGATGTGGTCGTTAACAGCGCCCCTTATCGTTTTGAAGTGTTTGGAACTCTTTGAGGGTTGATAACCACTGTTTGATAAGGGAAACCTTGCTCGGTCGATAATTTCTAACTCTCGTGGCAAACCTATGAACGTCTGATAAATTTTTTGATAAGAACGATTCCGTATTTAGCGAGAATTCTGCGTATCTTAAATTCTGTTTTTCCTTTTGCCGCTAAACGTGGGTTAAAACAGTTGTCGATAAAGAAGGACGCTGTGGATGGTCAGTTAGAGTTAGTTGTTGCAGGAATTTCACACCAGATGGAGACACGTAATTGACTTGAATGAGAATCTTGCGTGATTTTATATTTCATAAATACTGGTATTTTAAAGTTATATAAAATATTATAAAAATGTTTGTAGACGGTATAATGATTATAGATTATCATATGTTTATTGTAGTGTAACATAGGTACTTCGAACTTACTGTGTAAACTTACTGTGTGTTCAATAATGGATAATTTAAATATGCCATGTAAAGCGTAATAGATGATTTAAGAATCTGAAAATTCCCTTTCCTCTCTTGTTGGGATCGAGATAATAGTTATGCTCAGCAGAACCGCCTTTTACGCCGGTAATAATAATAATCGGTATTTATCGATTGCATTATTTAAATTTCATTCGAGAGAAATGGTAGCTTCGTTACGTGACGTTCGGGTTAACGATTTCAAAGTTATAGCGAGATTTGGACATGAAAATTAAATCATAATGATATCCCCCTTCAAAATATTTTAAGAACGATTTTTACGATGAATCCTGTAATAACATATTGAGAAAAAAAATGTATTCCTCATTTAAAACGTAGGAAATTGCGATTCTCTCTCGAGAGAGAAAAAAATCGTAAGATGGGACAATATCTGACATTTCGAGAAAAATAAATTACTTCGACGAGCCGATCAGCGAGTGCGAGGTAATGGCGCTCACCTTGTTATTTCCCTTGGTGAATACCTCACAAATCTTCATCCAATCAAAATTCGTACTTCCGTTTCACAAGAGATCGTTATTCTATTACCTGTGGAAAGGTCATTTTTGTACGCGTGAAGCCAACGACGAGTATTTTTATTTATACTAAGAATATTTAAGAAAACATAGATTTTGTACATTCTGACATGTAATTTGTAATATCCGTTAAAAGCACATAAATCTGAAAGATTTTTTTTCCCTGAAATTAATTGATAAAAGTAATGAACAATATCGTCAAACGAATCTTAAACATAAGAGGTAAATCAAACGTACGTTTTTTCTGGAACATCCTTAAAAATTGCGTATTGTACGGAAAGAAAAATATGCTATAAAATAATATCACGATTCTTTCATTCGAGAATATTCGAGAAAATCCGTTACGTGACGACCATAGAAAGGACGTACCGCTAAAATCGTTTATATTATTTAGGACAATTCTATTGGTCGTTAGGCTCTTGCCTTGAAGCAGGGGAAGCCCTAATCTGACATAACGACGTAACAAGGTTACCTTGTTAAATAAATGTCGCTCGTCGAGGGGTGGTAACGGCAGTACGGCGAATCCACGAAACCCAACCCCTAAAAAGTGGGCCAACGTTTGCACGATTCAAAATGGTGGATGTCGACCAGGGGGTTGCGTAAGAAAGAAAGAGGTTCTTCAAATATGCTGAACTGGACGAGCGTACGTTTCCAGTGCATACGATTCCAAAATATGCGTTGTATATTTTACAAGTTTCATAACTAATTATTCTAAAAAAATTTCAAAAATGCAAATACCGAAAATTTCAAGCAAACATCGTACCAAAAAATGTTAGTAAAATATTTTTCTGCGACAGTTCTACAAAATGGATTCCTGACAACTAATATTATATGACGATTATTCTCGAGCAAAGATTAAGATATTTTATTCTAAAAGTCTAATAGTCAATAATATCTTTTTTAGAAGAATTTTTATTTACAACAGTTTCTCTCCTGTTAATTAATTTAAGTAATTCTGATGTAGACGTAACAAAGTCGTCAAGATCTGACGCTAAATTATCTCTACTCATTTACTCTTTTGTGCGAGATGTGTATACCTATACAACACAAGAATTATCAGCTATACTCGAAGGCCTCTGTCAATTATATAAAAACAAAGAAGAAATACGTTAGAATGAAAAAAGAACTAATGAACATACGGAAAATCCTTATTAGAATTTGTCCAAAGGCCGAAGGCCTAAAAGTATACACGAAAAACGCCATTGCGACGGTAACTTTGTTCGACGAGACATCCGTCTTTTATATTTATTTTGGGATACCGAAACGTCACAAGAATGTTTTCGTTGTATAAAATTTTACATAAATAACTAAAGTAAATAATAATTTCTAATAAACATAGAATTCAGCACCGTTCAAATACTTTCGTAACGACCACCTAAAGATGCATGTTAATTTTTTTTATAACATTTGCTTGCAACAAATATTTTGCAAAATTTTCTATTATGCGTACGAATGCATATATAAAGTTTGCAGCCATTACTGTCATACCAATATAATTAACTAAATAATCTGTTTCCAGTGGCTGTTTTTTATCTGTATGTCAATCCAAAAATTTATTGGGAAATCCAAAGGTGTTCCTGTCATACGTTTCATCTACAATATTTCCTATCTACAGAAAATAACTATCTTGCTCCCAATATATTAATCCAAAAACGTATCTCGCTGGGCATCTTGAGTCCCGCGACGAGACCATCCTCAGCTTCACACTTCCCAATATAACGCAATTTGTTCCTAGTGAAGATTCTAATCAGCACGAACAGCCTAACAGCATTTAACACATGTCCATTTCTCACGCTAACGACAATTGAGATTTTGATCTACCATCCCTCGCTTGGCTTGTGGCTTGATCGTACCCTGATAAAAATAGGTTTACGTTTGCCTGAAACTTTAATACATGGTAACACTTAGATAATAGAGGGTTCGATTGTCGATCAACGGGGTACACTCAAAAACCAAACTGTTAAAGAAGGGTGTGTAGGATCTGACGAGCTCCCACCCCGCCCCAAAGGCAGAGCATGACTTTCCAAAACACTTAGTGAAAAATAACCAAAATAATAAGGAAAAAAGAAAAAAAAACAATTTTTCAGGTTTGAAAAGTCTTAGAAAAAATAAAAACGTACTTGACCAAAAAAACTAGAAACAAGAAATGTTTCATGACGGCAGATCGGAAAAATTAGAAAATCATATCACGTCTGTTTGCTTTCGCAATTTTCTTTCGAGGTCCATGGAACGTTATATTTGAAAGGAATACTTGAAAAGTAATAAAAAAAAATAGACAGAAATAAGTCGAGTCAGTGATCGTGAACTCGTAGCAGCGTCGGCTCGAGTGTCGTCTAAACGTCGCAGTGAATTTTTTTTATTGCCGTCGAGTCTAATGCCACCTGGAGGCTACGGGGAGCGTAAAGAGATTATGGAACTAAAAAATTCACAGAGAAACAATCCACAAGGAACGGGAATATAATTGCAAGTTCCGCGGGGCAGCCAAGAAGAGAGCTTCGAGCGCTTTTTTTCCTGAGCGGAAGAGAGAGCGGGTTATGGTTCGGAGCGTGGGAGCGAGTGAGAGGCGAAGATCCAATTAAAAATATTACACATTACCCGCCACACGCTAAAATGTATTTACTGTTTAAAAGCGAGAGACAGGGTGCCTACTCGTCCATGCCAACGTATACGTACGTATGTGTTTGTATATTATGTACTTACTTATAACACCCAGAGCACCTCGTTTCTCCATTGAATGCAGCACCTAGGCTCGAAAATTAATTGGTCAATGCGTAATTGATCCATCGTAATTATCTGCGCTCACTCGAGATTCTGCTTCACAATACCGACTCACCCCGCTCCTTAATGGGAATTTATAATTCTGTCTTACCCCATTGCCGAGTCTTAGCATCCAATAGATCCTTTCGCCATTACCGGCTCCCGAGACAAGTAGCAGTGTCGCTCTTTCGAAATTCACTCCTCTCTTTCACTCTTCAGCCTTCACTTGTTTTTATCCTTTTTTCACGATTCCTTACTTGATCAAGCGATTGGATTAAATAGTTGCTAGTTTCTTTTTCTACGCCTCACTCATTACTCGTTGAGTGGTTCATGTGAATTGATGACGGCATTTCGTATATCTAGCTAACTTGGTTTGTGTTTTTTCTTAGGTACGTTAAAATTCTCTAATGGCACGTGATACGATGAAAAAACGTTTCGGCGCGAATCTCAAGCTCTTGTCTAATTCTACGTGGATCCAGGAGAACGGAGAAGAACGGGAAAGACTTCCTTGACGCGGAGGAAGTTCGGAGTGACGTTCGAGAGAAGCGGAGGTCCCCGAAATAGAATACCTGCCAAGAAAATACAAGACAGAACTGAACAGATCGATGCCCGGTACCGATATTGAATGTGACATGTTTTGAAACACACCCCTTTCATACCCATTTTCGATTTCTATGAGTGTATTTACGTCGCGGTTTCTTCCCACGTGCTGCTGCTGTGGATACGTGTCATGTTACGGCCATTCTTCTCACTCGTCTCAAGACCGGAAGAAATTTTGACCATGAAATCCGAACTTTGGATCGAGGATTCCAATTGCGAAGGATATTTAATATTGATTGAATTATAGAAAAATTAAAAGATCGGGATTACCATTTTTATAGTGGTACCCCCGTTACCCGTTAGGCGGCGTTCACAATGGCAATGTCTCTACAGCTAAAAATCTGAATTCTATATTGCTACTTTTTACTTGCTTATTTTTATAGTCTCTTTGATCTTTACGTTTTGCCACTATATACACGTATTCTTATTATTATTAAGAAATTTTTGGAGAAACCATTTCGAGAAACCTAATCGAGCCGTAGTAAACGCGCGTTATGCGAAATAGTTTCAAGTTGTTAAAACAGTTTCCGACGGAACGATGTTTATGGTAAGGCTGAAATGATCTTTCGGTTGAAATATATTTGAACTTTTACGTGGAAAAGG